CTGGGCAACGTATAATCATACGGCAAAAAAGTCTATCAACTGGCACTTGACTTCTGACTTCCAACTACCATGATCCCACCATATGTCCGCCCTATCGACCTTTTGTCACTTTGTTGTCCCACCTCTTCTCTGTGAAACCCGAAGTCAGCTAAAGGGCTAATGATGACTATCAAAACGCCTACCATTTGAAATAAATATATGTCCTCAGTGCTTCCATTGGAAGGGTTCCTGCCGGGTCGTGGATGAGCTGTCGTACACAAAATGTCATGAACTTAACATACGTGCCCTTTAGCGTTCCTTCTTGGACTTTCATTGTTATAGCAAATAAAAACATCTATAAGAATAATTACTTCACTCACCATTTCTGCTTGCGGGAAGTCTAATTTCTTAATTCAAAGCAATTTTTATGGCACCCTTAAAGTGAATACATTCGTGTCTACTCACTCAGCCTCCATTCAATTATTCAAGACCTAAAGGCTTTAGGGCTTTCAAATAGAACTCATAATATACGGAATTTATTTTCATAAACTTAATAATAACTGTCCCCAGGGGTGTACGATAGACTTGCCTCCACGTGGTGCAGCCTGGGCAACGTATGCTCATGCGGCATAAAAGTCTATAAACCGGCAGTTGACTTCTGACTTCAAACTATCATGACCCCACTCTATGTCATATTCGACCACTTCCACAGTGCTCATCTTAACCTACTTTCTACCTTTGTGTCTGTCTTCTCTTTTGCATCTGTGAATCACTCCTCTGTTCCTCCCCTAGTCTATTTGTGACTTTGATGTTCCTCACCCTCTGTGAAGCCCGAAGTCAACTAAAGGGTCGATGACAACTATCATAAAGCCTGGCATTTGAAATAAATAAATAGCGAATGCCCCTTTGCACCCCCCCCCCTCCCCCACCTCCACCTCGATATTTTTCCCGTTCGTCTGAAGGCAGGCCAAACCATCTGCGACAAAGTCATCTCATTAAAAGTCTTCTGCACTACCAACTAAAATATCACCTAATAGCACTTCTAGTAGTTCAGAAAACATGTTGACAGAAATCCATTGTTGACATCCTGTAGTGCGGTGCATTGAGTAGCCCATAAACCCCAAGAAGAGTATGATTTTAAATTAAGTAAAATTGTAATAGTTCCTAAACGTTATGGTCCACTGAAAATAGACCCATTACCATTTTACAACACCTCTGCTAATAAAAAGCTTTATGATAATAATTACTGACATTTCCATTATGCTAATATGTCTCCCCCCCCCCATTTTCATTCAAATTGTTATTTTTCACATCATCACATTTTTTGGTTTGCATTAATTTACTCTCCATCACTCTATTGTAAATTGATTTGTTAAAGGTAATCGCACCGACGTCGTATTATACCATGGCAAAACATTCTTATTGATCCTAAATGTCTCCTTTCGTTCAGTCGGCTTCGTCGTTCGCTTAAATTGGAGGGGGGGGGGGGGGGGGGGTTGAGAAAGAATGGTGGTATGCAGAGCGCTTGTGACATTTATTTCACGTTAACTCTATTTTACACTACACGCATGTGTCGAAATGCCTCGGCCATTCGATTACTGGTAATCAAACTGATTTCTAATTTATGCAACACACGAATATAAACTCACTCAGGAAAGTAGACTAAGACTAAGGCACAAAAAAGTGAGCTTGAAATGCTGGCATTCAAAATACCTGAACATGTTAAGAACACCTCTTGTGTTCCGTGTTCCCCTAGTTAAATAGCTTCAATTGGCACAGAGTGTTGTGATGTGACCTAAGTAATAGCATACTCCCTTGAGCAGTCCTAGATACATCACAATACCCACTAAGTACAAAATCGGAGCTTAATGACTCGGGAGTGCATGAAAGGTAAGACTATCTTCAAGAATCGAGCTTTATCCTTACATTCCCCCTTGATCCTCTTTACGCCCCCCTATTTAGTGTTAATAACCTTAATTAACGCCATACAAGACTAATGCATTCCACACAATAACATTCCAATTTACTTATAAATGCATTCGCTTTCACAACTCTCTGTGAGAAAGCAGAAAATTAAGAAGTAAACTCGATCGATAGGAATGTGGTGGATAAATAGAAGGTAGAGGCTCGCGCGCACACACTGCTCAAACTGAAGATTGGCAGGCTGTAGTTCGCACAATCTGGACTGATGACCTAATAGTACTGATAAGTAAACAAGTAGGTACACACACGGAGGGGAGGGGAGGGGAGGAAGAGGGAGGGGGCATAGTGAATAATTGTAAGGCTTTCACAGTGGGGAAGGGAAGAACTTCAATGGCAAATCAACTCAAAAATTTTGGGATGGGGGAGGGGGGGAGGGGGTGGATAAACACATTGGAATGCAAAATGAGCTATCGTGCTTTGCACATTGTAGAATATAAGTAGTAGTATTAGTCGACGAGGAAGATGGAAGTATGGAATGTTTGTCAACGGCAGATTTAGAGGAAGAGTTATTCTTGTAGAGGCATTGTGTTGGTGGTAGTACTGGCGCTTACTTAAGAAGCTTGCTAGCTTGTTCATTCGCCTTCTTAATACGATCCGCATTCGCTTTAGCCTAAAATGACATAGAATAGTTATGGTCATATTAGAATGAAGTGAATTTAAGGTAGTGAAATCATTGGGAAATGCCTCTCAATTCCATTGTAATAAGTGCAATAATCAATAAACCTCTTAAAAAGACAGTCAAGGACGCATTTCCCCAGTTAGCACCAAGTTACAAATTAGCACTTTAGAATCCCAAAGACATCTTTTTGTGCCCAAAGTAAGTGATTTCTCCGTCAACTCACCAAGGAGGTTAACAAAGATACAGACAGTTGCATATTTTACACTCTGAGGGATATTGGCCCGACTGAACAGCACCCTATTCATCATCATCACCTTATTTTCCTGATCAAGACACGTCTTCTTCATGAACGTAATTCCACCATTTTACTTAAACACAGAACACATCGTTTAATATCTTAGTCGTGGGGTGTGGGATAGACTTACCTCCTCGCGGTGCACCCTGAGCAACGTATAATCATACGGCAAAAAAGTCTATTAACCGGTAGTTGACTTCTCACTTCAAACAACCATCCCCCCCCCCCCCACTGTATGTCATATTCGACCCTTACCACAGTACTCATCTTACCCTTTCTAAGCCTTTGTGTCTGTCTGTTTCTTTTACATCTGTGAATGACTCTTCTATTCTCCCTCCAGAATTCTTCTCACTTTGATATTCCTCCTCCCCTCTGTGAACCCAGAAGTCAACTAAAGGGCTAATGATAACTATCAAAACGCCTCCCATTTGTTATAAATAAGTAAAAATCTTAGACGATGGAATGCACTTTTATATGTATTTTAATGAAGTAAGGGTGTGTAAGTTCTCTTAACAAATACTAGGTTTCGCTTCTTCAAATGGAAATCACAAGTGAAATAACGTCCACTTATGATCAATCACAATCAGAATACTAAATCTGCTATTAAATTATCGTTTTTAACATTGAATGGAATCCACTCGGATGAAATGGTTGCTAATTGGCGAGGTGTTGATAAAAATATCTACTACCCTGGTGAGAGAGCTTTAGCACTTAATATTCTACATTTACCTTATCTCGAATCATCACTTTGCTCCCTTACAACATTTATGTATAATGTTACGATTTGAGCTTTGGATTTTCTGCTATTAAAGAATTGAAAAATTCGTTACACCTGTTGGATTAAAATTGTGAAAAAAATGATCTTATTAGTGAATAGAGCAGGGGAGAGGGAGGGGTAGGGGGTATTGTGGAGGGTCTACGCACCTTTAGGTGAATACGCTCGACCTGTGTGTTCTGTTGCGTGATTTCACTGCCCATGTCGATGGCCATGTTGCGAAGATTTCCAATCATACCTGCCACCTCCTGCATGTTCTGGTCCATTTCATCCTCTCGGGCGTCTTTTGTTATCCTAAAGTTTTTCAAAACACACCATTCATTGTCTGCAGACAAGAAAACAACAAGTCAATGGAAAAGACAGAGCGAGAGGGAGAGAGGGAGAGTAAGCATGCCAAAAGAACGAAGAACAGGGACTTTCAAATCTCGCCTCAGTGTGTAGCGAGACTCTTGTCAACAAGTTATATATATATATATATATATATATATATATATATATACACGCTACGCGAGTGGATGCAAATCTAGGGATAAACTCTGGGAACCGACACACTTAAGAGAGAAATGGGATAGGTGGATATAATTATGTGTAATTGGGAATATAATGAGTTCAAATAATTCAAATCTTACAGATAAATTGGCATATTTTGAAGCAATTAAAACCTTCTAATTACCCCTCCCCCACCCCNCCCCCCCCCCCCCCCCTCCCCCAATGTTAATAAAGACAGCTTATAATCGTCTCATATGCACATACAATTTTATACCTTCTTGTGGTTAGCTCGTTTCAAATGATTCAAGTATTAATTTGGTCATAAAATGGAAGTTTATGTGTGTGTGTGTTTTATTATTTGTTTCAAAGTGTAAATCGTATTAAGCATATCCCATTAATGGGATAATTAAATTATTCTCTACTCCCCCCCTCCCAATTTTAAAGCCCCCCAATATTTCAAATTGCCGCACATTTTAGCTCAGTCTAAGCCATAAAGCATGCATCAGAACAAAACGCAGTTCAAAACTTATCGTCTTAATAGCACAATTTTATGCAATTTTTGCCTATTTGCTTTGGTTACAACGTGTGTACAATTTCAGGCTGAACCAACACGCGTTCGCTATTATAAAAAGGAATTGACTGCGTCATAAGAGCGTGGAAATGTCGACGTAGCGGTCTCTTTTAGTGGTGAAATTAGGTCCGATCAGTGGAAATACTTGAAAGTTGGCTCAGATCTTATAAACAAACCCTAGAAGGAATTGCTACTTTTTGTTTAAAAGTGGTAAGAACTGAAACACAGATAAGCGAAAGAAATAGATATCTCTTTTAGTCTGAAAGGCAAAATAAATTAACTCCGAGATTGAAGACTAGCCAATCAACATGTGGAATTCGGAACAAGGAAAAAGTAAAGGGCGTGTGAGGGGGAAGTAGCTATAAAGTCACTTAATGAACGACTAACTATTGTCTAAATGGATTATATTTAGAATCTCGAATTATTATCTAACTTATAACAAATCAATAATCTTTTATGATCGAGGTTTCCCCTATGTGCTTGTATTAACAGGAAGTGGGAAGAGAGAAAGGACTGTTGTGCGTACCTTTTAAGACCATGGAGAGGAAAAAGAACATATTAATGCGAGATCTAACAGAGGGCTCCATTTTAGGCAGAAAAGCTCAAATTTCCTGCTTTAGGATTCACAAAAGATTTCGTAGAAGTTATTCAATGTAGTAACATTGAAGAGAACAGAAAACTTTTGCGGTTCAAATGATAGAAATAGTATCCCAACTATTTTTTGCTTAAACAGATTATTTAAAAATGACATAATCAAAGATACTGGAAGCACAGCGGTTGTAAAAAAAAACTCCCTTATGATAACTAATGTCAAGTGAGAATAGGCAATGATCTTTTCATCTGTTTTCTTTCTGTTGCTTTAAACTGATTTGAAACTACGAGCTCTTACGCGTGTGATCGACCTTATCGTAGATCATAGTCCTCTTCATACCTTCAAGCCTGTAAGAGTCACAAGAACCAGGGTAATAAGTAGTGTAAATTTTCGAAATTAGTCACATCTAATAATAAATTGGCCTTCATAATAAGTGGTAACACACCAAGGAAGTTCAACCCCCCCCCCCCCCAGTATAGAGAGAGAGAGAGAGGAATGCGACGTGAGCGTCACCTTTCCAATTCCCTGACAAGGCGGACAGAGAGACAGACTTGATTCTCATCTCTCGTCTAAGCACACGTTTAGACGAAGTCAACTAGAGGTGAAAACCATCCATTGGCCTATTACACAGCACTATGCAACAAACAGCACACGCCCTAGGCATGTTGCTTTGGCCCAAAGCAATTAAAAAAGGGAGATCCCTACAGTAATCAACTGCCGCAAAATTTGGGCATGAGAAATCACTGTTGATGGTAAACTCAGAGCCGTTAATTAATCTGGACTCAATAATTAGAGGAGGCAAATAGTCAACTCGCTGGCCTTTAAATAGGATCGCTGAATTTCACCTTGGGATTTAAGCAACTTGAGTGAAAATCTTTTGCAGACAAAGTAAAGTCTTTATTTTTTCATACCAAAACCCTAGTAGGCTTTTGAACTCTCGCATTTACTTTATTGCAACAAACTACCCTGACACCAACTCCGTTGAGCTTCTTGATGGAGGTCATCAGACAGAAACGCGCGGGATCTCGCGTTTTTTCTTTTCTCTTTGCCAAAAAAACTACACTAGAATTATTCAGTTCGGATCTACTCCAACTTCCACCTGGCTTTCCTCATGAGTGTTCATTTAAATTTCACTCCACTTTTCCACCCCATTTTTTTCTCTAGCAATGTTTGCATGCGCGTGGTCAAGTGTTGCCATTTGTCTAAATCTTGAATTAAAAATGCGTAGAGGCAAATACGTTAACAAAGGCATCTCTTTGGTATAACCTCCAGATGCGTGAAAGCATGACTGAAAGCTATCAATCTTAGTGCCTGCGGTGGGTTCAAACATCTCGAAGTTTAGAAGCAGAAAAAAACAAGGTGTTTAAAAATTTATTGAAGGCCTCACAGAAATCTAGAGATATCGAAGCGGTGGGTATTTGGGAGTGTGTATGTAAGCTTGAATAAAAATCCAGAACAAACGACACATACATAGTGAGAAAAAAATTTTCAATGTAATACATATTGAAAAAGTTTAAATTACAACCTCTAATATCCACATTGCCAATCATTCAATAGTAGACGAATTATGAGTAATTTAATTAGCGATAAATAAAGAGAGTTAAAAGGTTTGTTCCTGAAAAGGAATGGCTTACCAAGATGATTTTCTGCAAAAAGTGTCCATAATTTTTTAATTGTACTCTCACATATTGAGAGTGAGATCCCGTAAACTACTCCACTAGAGGAGTCAATATCCTATTATTGGGGCGTGCGCTAGACCTACCTCCACGTGGTGCACCCTGGGCAACGTATACTCATGCGGAATAAAAGTCTATAAACCGAAAGTTGACTTCTGACTTCAAACTACCATGACCCCACTGTATGTCATACTCGACCCCTTCCACAGTACTCACCTCACCTTTTTCCACCTTTGTGTCTCTCTCTTTTACATCTTTGAAACATTCTTCTGTTCAACCCCCCCCCCCCGTCGTCGACTTTTTTTCACTTTGATGTTCCTTCTCCCCTCTGTGAAGCCTGAAGTCAACTAAAGAGCTAATGATAACTATCATAAAGCCTGCCATTTGATATAAATGTCCTATTTTTATCGTTATTATTATTATTATTACTTACATAGACTTCGTAAAGTGTGATTTGCGCTTAGTCGCACCTTGAATACCAAAGTGTAGCTTTTCAACAGCATGTATCAATCCGTTTAATATGAAATGAGGGGAGTATTGTCAATTTCTGGAAAGGGCATAGAATGCACTAATGGCACCAGACAGTCCAAACGGATATTTTAAAATAGCAGTCGCTAGTGGCGTCTCCATACTAAAGGTAGGAAATGAAACGCCTTCAAAGTAATAATTGACTTTACAATTCCAATTATATAACCTACAGTAGGTGGACAGAATCATAGGGATCGTTAAAAGTTGAAAAGGTGTGAAATTTATAGCCGAATTGGTAAATTGACCTGAAAAATGTAAATGACGTTTTGAAATCGATGGGAAGTCTAATGCAGAATTTACTATCGCATAAAAAGAACGAAAAGAAAGCAAGTCTTGCCTTCCAATCACAAATAAGGGGATACTCTTAGTTTGACCTATATTGTTATTGAATTACTAGAGTAATAATAAGGTCAAAGTGTTTGGGGCTAACCTTGTGATATAGCCACCGGTCGGACCCATTCCGTTTTGATCGACAATGATTCTTGGTCCGTCACCCCCACCGAAGCCATCTTCATCCTTCAACTGCTTCGTGTAGTCGCCTTTGCCCTTCCTCCTTTAAGGGCATAAGAAAGGTCTTATTGGAAGGCTTAGTACCATCACAACAAAAACTACTTAAGTAGATTACTGAGAAATATTAGTCGTTTGCGAATTGGCGTCTAACGAGCCAATAAAAGAAGATTAGAGGATTTTATCATTTGTCATTTGTGATGACAACCCCAATACCTTAAGTGGCCGATTTAAGGGGATCTAACTACCACCCACTACCCCATCTCTCACTAAACTTAAAAATCCACCCTTCCTTTAATGGGATTAAAATTGTACGAATCGGCTGCAATAATTGCAAATAGAATATGTTGTGTTTCACATAATTCAACGGAATTGAAGAAGATTTGATTAAAACTAAAGTTCATTTTAAGGAATCATTCGTTGGTGGAAATAATCTTAACTCTAACTAGGGTGAGTCGAATTAGGATTTTAGTAGAATAGACATGTTGGCTAATTGAAGGACAACCTGTTTTCAAAAACCAGGTTTATTATTAAACTGGACTAACTGTCAAGAAGGAAAATGGCAATATCAACGATGTATTAATGCTGACATAATCATGATATCCATCTGTACATGGCATTTTCTTATCCTTTTATACTGTAAAGGACATTATCCAAGAAATTGTACTTCCGAACTAATGGAATAATCGTGAGTATTCGGAAGAGAATTGATAAAAGCTCTATGACTAATTTTTTTCAATCTGAAATTTTATAGAAAATACTTTGTAAGCGTTAGCTGGAATGACAATACTAATCTGCGCTTGTCTATTCATAACACAGAAGGTAATTATCTATTCAAAGGGAACCTCGAAACATGCCATTTTAACTCCAAAACGAAAGCTTCAATTTTCAAAATTCGCAGCCCTGATAAGTAACAGACATTCGTGCCCAATTGTTTGGCTAGTATACCGAAAAAAAATTTGAGATATTTAATGCAGATATTAGCTATCCAAACTGAAATTTTGTTAGCCGGCAAACTCGTAATCTTACTTACAAAACGTTGCTGGTAATCTGAAGTTTCGCTTACTTATTCCACGGAAGTACACAGAGACCACAGCATTTGTTCAGATCATCTAGATTCTTTTCTGCGTCCTTCATATCCTCATTAATCTGATCCATTCCCTCGTTGATACGATCCAGTTGTTCTGGAGGTGGGCAATAAATCGGAATTTATATTCACGCCAAACAAAACATTCAAGAATAAGTGGTTGTAGTAAATAACGAATAAGCATAGGACGACATAGATGGAGTGGGACGAAATAACATGATTTGTCACGACGGAACATTCCACTTTACGGATTATCACGTACCTCCCTGGTCATCCAACATAACCAACGTGGAGATGCCGGCTTCTTTGGCCTAATTTCAGGAAATTTCAAAAACAGAGCATCTACAAGCCATTCATTTTGCCAGGAAGTGGGAAGCCCCACATCCCTCGGAAAAAATGTTTTAACAATATTACTGCGGCCAGTCAATGCCTGATTTGGTAAATGCTAACCACCTCTTAAACACTTGGGAGCGTATATTATTTTTAATTTATTAATAGTAATGATTTTGCTATGAAAGTGTTAATTTTAGGGTCACTTAACCCAAAATGTTATATTCATTCGGCAACGACATTAAATATGCATTTATAATTGAACAATCGGCCATATTGGTAGGTAGGCAATCAATTTTCGATCGATCACTTTAAAGGGTTACCTGGTTTTATGTTGGCGAAGAGGAATAGAATCGCAACGACTAAAGGTCCTACCACTCACTTCCTTCTCAGCAGTTATGGAAACAAATTATAAACTTCTGAGATAACCATCCCAGTAAGATACAGCAGGCCTAATCACACCCAGCAAACTCTTATCACATAACAGAAGAATATCAACTTGAGCTAGCTATGTCGCAAGTCATATTTGTTCACCCAAACTACCTAATTATTAATCGATACTTCGATAATAATGGAAAGGCAAATGCAATATAGAGAACTCAAATTTCATCAAATGAGAATTTCTAATAAAAAACCATAATTGCATTTTTACCATACACATTCCCTTTAAGCTCTACCTTCCTGGTAGAACTTCTTCCTCTATTTCGCTAGCAATCCTTGCTAACGACTTGTTCCTTTTTCGGAGGGAGAAAGCGGCTGATTAATACACCTTCCATGAGAGATCTAACATTAAGTGTTAGATGAGCAACCAACTAGAAGTCCTCTAACATCTCTTTCAGTTTTCTTATCATGAACATAACCCCCCCCCCCACTCCCCCTATTTGTTCTTAATGCTTGTCCTCTACTTTCCTCTTGGTTCAGGATTTTCTCTCCTGATATCTAAAGTGAAATACTGCATTCATTCAGGATTTGAAGGCAAATCCCTATTCTCTCTCATTTCGGCAATCATCAACACCAGTGCTGAGTTCAATTCGACAAGGAAACTAGTTCAAGGTGTTTATTCCTTATCTTACCCTCTTTATATCCGATCTCTTGACTCTTTCTCTCCCTCCTGGATAGCCATTAAATTACATTTTATAAGTTTTGGCTCACAAAGTCTTCTCGCGTTTAACTATAAAATTAATGCGTACAAAATCGGAGAGAGTGTAAGTAAATACAAAGCCGGTATTCAGTTAGAGGCTAACGGAAAGTTGAAACGTTTAGGAGCACAGTGTCATTAGAAATCCAACTGCCATAACTACGCTCCTATATTCTTATTAATTCACTGCACTCATGCAACATATGATGCCACTACGGTATTCCTATCGAATTTCTCAATCGTTCTAGGGATTCGACAATGGACCCAGATTATAGGGGTTTTATGTGAAATAATCCCTAGAAACGGGAGAAAAAGAGGCAAGTACTAAAATACCATCGATGCAGCTCTGGGTTAGGTCGAACCAGTCTTTGTCATGTTCTCTGGTGGGAGTAAAACGTTAATAGCCTTTAGAGTTCGGAACATTTTTCCAAAATAGTCTGAGTTTTTTCCTCCATTTTCAGCGGGTGATTTAGTTCTCATCATCACAAACTTTAAAAAAAGCACAAAACTGCCCCCGTGAGGCGTTATAAGGCTTGCCAATTGTTTCTTCAGAATGGGATTTTTATAACTATTCAGAATTTGAGCCTTTTGACCTTTGAGAAGTGTAATTACAGTCAAAATTTCGAACCGCTTGCAAAAAGGAGCGGCGTGATTGCGTGATTCGGTTGCCTGGTTATACTTCAGTCCGGATAAACAATTGTCAAGCTAAATGCTGTTTTCAATAAATCGAAAAGAAAAACATTCTAAATAAAATTTTACTATATTTTATATTTTCTGACTGTATTCTCTTTATGGCATCCACCAAAACGCATTCGGAGACTTAAATCCTGCAAAGGAAGTACTTAAAAAAAGTTTACCCGCTTTACTTCACCTCAAACGTCATTGCGCCTGACAACTTGATTACTTTCAATATTTTATTAAATACGATTAATCTTTTCAAGCCTCTAATGTGAAGAAAAACGAAAATAGGCAAGATGCACTCAAATTTAACAAACGCTGGCACTGAATAATTGGAATTAGGTTGATCTAACAACCTCATCAGCGCGCAAACCAACCTGAAAGTGCAAGGGACCAATAGGAAGCTGGAATGGAAGACATACTCGTCCATGGCCCCAAGCCACTTTCGACTGAAGCAAAAATTGTGGTGAGATGAGTACATTCAAGTTATTTGCACATTTTACCCATTTTATGGGCCCAAACCTAATATGCAATTTCAAAATTGCCCTTTTCAAGGAACAATCTATATTTCCTGCTTAGCTTTCCTGCCATGGACTTCTACACTATCAGTAGACAAGCGCATTAAAGTTTTTACGCGTAGTATTCGTTGCAGACTGGGATGTTGCTAATTCTTCCCTTTCTCATCAACACAATCGTTTGGATTCAACTCTTGAGGTGATTTTGAAATTAACAGGATATTTCAAGCTAGGTCTAATTAAAACACCTTTGCTTAAATAAAACACGTGAACTTCCGTTATTCTGGAATTATGAAGATGGGCAACGACATCACTATTCAGTCTTCGCTTGTGAGTTGTAAACATCATTGCAATGTTGTCGGTAATGAACTGGGTTGCCAAATGGAGCAATAAAACTGCAATTTTGAATGCAGATCATTTTTTAAATTCCACATTCAATGCCAATATCTCTTGATTAACTTTAAATCAAAAATGGAACCGCAAACTGCACCTTGATTAAGACGAAATTCATGAGAAATTGAGAAAAAGTTTAAGGCAACCACTTATTCAGTACAATATTTTAGTTCTTTAACGCCAAAGCTCTATTTTATTAGATTTTTGGTCAATTAAATTTGTTTCGCGTATCATTAATTTAACAATCCAGTACAGAACTTGAAGAGATTGCAGGTTTGTTGTGCCCTAAACAGCCAATGATAAGCCAAGAAACGAGTGAATAGACCAATCATTTTTCACCTTTCCACAGCTCTGTTCAATTAACCAAAACCACGTAGTTGTTATTACCACTCTTTCATGTCCATTTTAAAAAAAAGAATATTCGACAATTTCTCAAAGTCCCAATACTCCAGATCCATTGAAATTTTGGCAGCAAAATCAGCGGAGGGGGAAGGGGAAGCCTTTCAGTATCTCAAAATAAATTCAAAGTAGTTAAAACATGGCTTTAACCGATAGGGCTCATCCCCATACTCGCCAAAATCCCGTAAGCTCACGATTTTGTCCCGTGGGATTTTAGCTATGTGAATGTTTAAGAAGCATTCAATGTTAGGATAATTTCTAGTGTGTGCTGCAAACATTTATCACCGACTTCTACCCGGTAACCCTAATTTTAATTTTTTTCAACATCTTCATCTCATTATAGACAATTCCACTACTGGGAAAAGGATATCACCACTACAGTTTAAAGTCAAGTTTACATCAGTTTCCAATAATAACAGTACTTCAGGCTTGAGAGCAACCCGATGGGTTCTTCCCAATGTTTGCTTTTACTTGAAGCCAGAAAAACAATTCCAGCGAAAAAAACACAACTCTAAGCGTGATTTCCAATTCTTCAAATTCGTCAGACAATGAACTATCTGGCACCTTGCTTACTTCCTATGAGGTTTGGGAATTGATTTTCATAATATAAAAGCCAAAAAAGCTCCTCCAGATAGCTCAAATTTGTTTTCAAACTTAAATAAACTAATTTAATTTGTAATCAAATTACAGAGTCTGTTATCGACTTGTTGTGGATTTAGAGCATCACAAATCAGGAAAGAAGGAATCTCATCAAAAATATCCTTTGCAGTCGCAATAGCTAATTGAGTTGAAAGGTGGACAAATAGGAGAAAGGAGTCGATAAATAATAAAATTTGGCTCTTTTCCGACATTCAGATGTGTTTATCACGAGCTTTTAATAAGGGCTTAATTTAATTTTTTGAAAGTAAAAAGTTAACAAAAGTGACCCACCTCTTCACAGAGAGCCATCATCCGACGAGTCGCATCGAGGGACTAAAATGAGAAGAATTAAAATGCAAAAGGAGAGATTAAGTGGAAGTTGCCAGTAGATATCTATCTACTGCTATCATCGCGTGTTAGAGTAGTAAAATAGAACTGTCAACAAAAAAATCGGCTGATCGGATAGATGATAAAATATGCTTATGGAAGTGGTTTTGTGCTCTCTGATACCAAGCAAGTTTGAAATGCAAAATTCAGTCTAGTTAGTTGGTGAGAAGTGTTGTAGGTATATTTGAAATTAGTAAAATTTTCAAAGCAAATATTGTCATGTGCATGGAATTGGACGGACCTATTTTATGATTCTTCATCGCGAAATTGTCATATTCAATAATTTAAAGTGGTCTGAATATCAAATTAAATCCATGTAATTTTTTCAATAATGATTACGAAAATATAATTATAAGAAGGAAATTTATCAAATTTTCCAACGTCCAAACATTAAACTTAGCTTTATTAAATTATTTTAAAATTCATTATCTTTCCAAAACCAAGGGTTCTTAAACTTTCAATAGATATAAAGCTGTGCCGAAACGATATGATAAGGCTCTCATATTTCTCTCTATCATAAGTAAAAACCATCACTCATGAATCAAGGTGTTCCATGTTAAAGTCCCACTTGTGCAACATTAAAATAAGATTTTACAAAAGGTATGCGCTAAATAATAAGCAGACGACCTAAAAATCATGAAAGTACCACGCTAACCTGATCCTTAACAATCATTTCCACAATTATTTCATTGTTATTTTTTGTTATAATTCATCCAGGAAAGGGTATACAGGAGTCTTCTTGTCTTCTCAGTTCACAGTAAGAAGATATGCTGTTTAAGATAGCTTGACTTATCATCCAATTTTTTAAATGGTCAAAAATCTCTGATCTGGGACTAAAATCAAACAATTTTAACTCTCTTAACATAGCAACTCG